ATATATATATATATATATATATAACAAAATCAGACACTTTTTTCCTCTACATGCAGTAGACATTTTAAAATGCATTAAAAAAAAATACTGGATGTAAGAATTCTAAACCCTTCTATCAATTACAAGTAGTAAAGTGCTGAACCCAGGGACAATTATTAGTCTTAAAGACGGAAAGAAAACGGATCAATAAGTCATGTCGAAGAGGGTGAAGGTGAAACGGTATTACGTGGCAAAAAGAAAGTTTAGCATTAGTTTTATTTAGCTAAGAGCAGCAAGCTGGACAAGGAATAAATGCTGCTAATTGCTTTGCCTCACTGGGTATCGATCCAGTGGGTTTTAATATGGACAGAAAGATGGATAGCTTGAATAAGGGTTCTTTTGTGGAAGTTGTAAAGGTGTAAGTATAATTGTTTCTTCGCAATAAAACCAAGTGAATGAATAAAATACAAGTGTGTTGTAACAATTCAAGTGTGTTTCTTTGGAGTTGCATATTTAAAGAAACGAGGGGTGGATCAAGACATTTGCACAGTGTCATGGATAGATTCTGATGTTTAACATGTTGAATATTTAAATTATTTCTGACCAACTTGGAGGATGGAGCTGCACTCATGCAGTTAGACATTTTCTAAAAACTCTTCTAGTTGATGAAAAGTTCAGATGTTTTGTTTTGCTTGTTTTGGGTTTGGAGTCAATTGTTCGTGTCGTACGGTGTTTTTTGTGCTTTTATACAACGCATAAAGATTTGCCAAGTCGCATCTTTTCCTCCTGGCTGTTTTAATGTTGTAAAAATCAAAGAAGAGTTTCTTAAATCCACTGTTTAGTGCTGCAGTTTTTATCTTCTGATACAGTCGAGTGTAATTTATGATCCCCTGTGTGTGGCGAAGTTGATGTGACTGAGAAACGTCTGCGTGTCTTCTGTTTGCTTTCAGGATGAGTGGATCTCCGGTGACTCGTTCAGCAGGGGCAGAGCTCACGGTTCTGACGAAAAGGCCCACGGCTCGGAGACCCTTCCGCCAGGTGGGAAACCTCTCCTCATGTCAGCTGACCCTGCTACAATCTTCGTTTGTCGCTGAAAATGTTTTATTTTGTGTGCGGGGATTTATTCATCTGCTTTGATTTCCTGAGATCATGCATTTGTCGCAACATGCTTTGATTCTAATAGTGTAAAGTTTTCACTTTAAGCATCTTTTTAAATTGAACATTGAGGGTTTAGTTTCACTTTGGAAGCTTCTGCATTCCTGGTGATGCATCTTTGGTTTAAAACTGGGAACTTAAAGTCTTCTATGAGTTGATTTGTCAAAAATATAGAGGTCTAAAGTGCTAATACTGACGCTACTTCTCTATTACTTTATTTTTAATTAAATCCATACACTACCCCACCCCCCCCAAACACACACACACAAATTTGTTTGAATTACAAAAAACTCAACCACAAGCTCAAAGAGAGGTTGGTTTGTTGCCAACAATCATTTTAACATTCTTTGCTAAAGCTGTCCTACCTCACGAGTTTCCTCATTTATATTTATATAGAATTATGTTGTAAAGACATTTAAATATATTTTTGCACTTAAATAATGTCAAACAGAGCAGCACTTGGTTCATTTTTCTTATGTATTTACTGATCATTTTTAGTTTTTATTAGTATCTGACAGATTTCCTGGCTGTTAGCCTGATGTTTTGTAATTATTTGGTGTCTGAGTCCAACATTGAGAGCCTTTTTTTAATGATGTATTTGTTAATTAGAGACCTTGCTGTCACGACTGTAAAAATTTTTTCTATAGATTCAGTCATAAAAGCTCGGTCAAGACTGAACGCAGACGTTGCTACCAGGATTCATTCTTTAAATCTGCCCTTTTTTATTTTATTTTTTTTTTTAACCTTGCTCAATGTGCTCTTTAAATCTTGTCACACACCTGTTTCAGTTTCTGTTCAGACAATCCATAATTGACACTTTGTATGTGAGAGATAAGGCCAACTGATCAAATATCATTTCTGATATTTGATCAGGATCCCCTTCAGGAGCTGCAGAAAGATTCATAACTTTGAAGTTGTAACTTTAAACAAAGGAAAGTCTCATAAAAGGCAATGTAGACTATGGCACAGCACGTCAAAGTGTTTCTTCTGACATCTAAAGGTATTTCTCTTTCTAAACGATGCAAAACAGTTGCATAATTCTCTGATTGAAGTAAAAATTGTATCTCTTGACATGTTTAAACTGCAACAGAGAGTAAAGACAAATCAATACAAACAGCTGTCTGATAACAACATTAGAGCCAAGAAGGTCTCGAGCATCATTCACAAACTCTCAGAGCCCCACACACACTTGAACAAACACTGAGTGGATCTAACGGCATAAAGAAGAAGAGAGTCGGGGGGCTGGAGGAGAATCGGAGCCGATTCACGATTTCTCATTCATCTCTCCTTCTCATCTCGACTCGAGGCAGTCGGTGCTCTCTCCTTTCAAGCCAGTGACCTGCAACTGCTGAACTGTTGCTGGTTTTATTCGATCCAGCCACGGGAAAAGGAATCCCATTTGAGAATCAAAACGAGGAGGATTCTACTTTGGTGGGATTTTGCTTTCAACAATCGCAGCTTTTCACAGAATCGCGTAAAACACTAAGAATAGCAGAGAGTAAGCACAAAGAGTAAAGAGATGGAGGAAGCAAGGGAACCAAATTGTTATTCATAAAGGGATTAGGAGTCTAAAAGATACAATGGAATAAATAAAGCAAAGATGTTACAAATACGGGGAAGGTTCTCATGTTCTGCAGAAATGTGTTGCTTAAAACAATCCAAAAAGCTTGAATATTCCTAAAAAATAATAATTAAGTAGAAACAGAGTCAGCTTTGTTACCATTATTATTGGAGTGTGCTGTGGTTTCTTATTTCATAAGTTTTAAGTACCTTTTATTCCAGAAAAGTTCAGTTTTTCCTGACACAGAAAGTAAATTATTAATAAAAGACTAAATAAGCACCATTTTGAGCCTTAATACAGTAAGAAATTAATATTTACTATGAACGTAAGGAGATATTCTACTGGGAAAAACTTGACCTCTGTGCGATTTTTGTCTCAGCTGCTTTAATTGTTGCAGCTGGTCTGACTCCATGTGTAAGTCCATGCTGTGCACTATGAAGCAGGTAAACTTACACTTTTTCCTTTATTTGGTCTAAAAGCCTCTCATAAAGTGAGAAACATTGCTGCGTTACCTTCAGCTCAGACGTCGGGAGTCTGATTCAGGAATCTGATTCAGGAATCTGAAGCATTCAATCGGTGTAGCAACATGTTCACTAATGGAGCTTGTACAGACCTTTAAGTATAACTGAAGTGTGAATAAGTTTATTACCACATATATTGTACATTTTCATGCAACATGCAACCATTTTTGGTCCAACCTCTTATTTTTCTGGATAAAATGACATCATAGTTGATCAATATGGGAACGATTATTTAAAGTTTGGTTGCACGATCATTGAAGTTCATCGCAGTAATTTTGTTACTATTTACTTTGCGTTCATAATGACATTAAATACCATTGCATTTCTAATATACTGCAAGAGTGTGTGTTTCAGTTGCACAGGACTCTTGGTGAAATATTTCACAATAAAAGCCCACATATTTGTGCTTGGTATGATAAACGAACAATGCAAGGCAATCTGAGTTTATAATGTGGAAACCAGAAAAGTCTGAGTGCTCTTGTTTCATTTGCACGGGCAGAAAAAGTTTTTGATTTCCACCCTCCATCCTGCTGAGATGTGTTGCCTCTGATTCAGTGCATATGATTTATTTGGCTCTTTTAGCAAAAATGCAATATGATATTCATAACTTTTTGTTATTAGTGCGGGATCACGTTCAAAAATTATGTTAATTATCTCATGATGAGGCTTTTACTTGCTGGAGTCCACAATGATGCATAATCATGTTTAGTCCAGAACAGACTAACAAAAACTCCGGCTTTAAATAATTTACCAACCAAATTAGATTTCTCGTTTTTAATCTGATGCCACTGTATAGCTGCTCTTGTTGAAGATGTGACGAGGACAGAGGTACATCCAATTTTAGTCTTATGTTTTTGTCCATCGCGTCGTGTTTCATTGCACCGAGTGGCTGTAAGTCTTTTTAATTCCATCTACAGATAGTTTTTTGTTTTCACACATTAATAACAACTTGAGGAACTGAAAATAAAGCACAAGTTTTCAGACTGCTTTGCTTTTCCCCATTGATTAAAGCCACTGACTTTACAAATAAGAATAAAAATATTGTGTGAGGAAACAAACGGAGGTGAAAATTAAAATCCATTCCTTTGTGAATTTAGCGTTTGAGTCCTCTGAGGTGGTTGGCGGTGGGGTCATAGTTCACTAACGGGATCTGGAGTAATAATGAGCAAGAGTCTCTTATTCCTGTTGTGTTCATTTGGAAACAAACACATTGAAGTGAGAATCAGCAAATATCCAACAATCAACAGGAAGTGAGTAGAAACTTCAGAGAAGAGGATGAAAACTGTAATGACAGCTAACAGACCAAAACGGAGGCGCAGAGAAACAACAAACCACTTTCTTTGTTGAGATGGACGTTTCTGCTGAAAGGGTTCGTAGATAGTGTAAAAATGTAATGTTTGAAAGTGGACAGTCATTTTGTGGGTTTTTTGTTTCCCCAAGTCAAACTGACTTTGATAAATAATTGTGAAGATGTGGGGTTGACCAATTAGGCTTTTCTATGGACAAAGTTACCTTGCCTTACCTGGCTCTGCAAAATATGCTATAGGAGTTGTAATGCATATGTATTGATTCACCTATAGCAGTGGTTCTCAAACTCTGCAAAAGAAAAAAAACCTACCGGTAATAAGTTTTTTTTGTTATTTTGATTTTTTTTTTGCAAGCACATAGATATTAAAATACACCAAAATGCAGGAAATCACATAGACTGTATTCAAATTTTCTAGGGAGGACCCCCCCGGCAACTCTGCGGTTGGTTTACAAATTAAGCCTCGTTACTTGGTATATGACAAATGCTGTTATGATTCAGTTCAGATTTATGTAAAGAGTTGTCTGTAATAATTTGAAGAAGTGGCAATACACTAGTCCCTCATTTATTGCGGGGGATCCGTACCCTGAAGCCCCGCAATAAGTGAAAAACCTTGCAGTAGGAATAGTAGTACAAGTATGAAGCAACTGAACTGTTTGCCTCTTTTATGATTGTCCATTGTTGTCATCATTCTTTGTTGAAATCAGGTCTCTCTTGTAAATGAGTCCTCGAGGCTCAATGGGATTAACCCGTCTAAATAAAGGTTGAATGAAAAGTAGTAAGTAGTAGTTTATTTAGTACCGGTATGTATGCGTTTTCCACATTCTTTCAATATTCTAAACAATGTTTCTAAACTCTAAACACTCTAAAAGAGCACAGCATGTCATGATTTCAGCTCTCTGCCTCAGCTGCACTCTGCCATCTGCCAGAGTTCTCGGCCACGCCCACTTTTCCGCTGCAGAGCGGAGATAGGACACGCTGCGGGAGGAAGCTTCTCCTGCAGCTGTGGGCTGCACACAGACCTGTGCAGCAGGTGCTAAATAATTTATTTTAAATAAAAATTCCATGCCGATGGTGCGGCTCATCCATCAATCAGCCACTTGTGTGTCATGTCCAATCTTAATTTGAAAAACCGCGATAGAGCGAGACAGCGAACAGCGAAGGACTGCTGTACATTTACCGGTATGTTTATTAAGTGAATTGGTAAAGTTTTAAAGTGGTTTTTGAAACTGTTAATTTTCTCAACTGTAATTTTTGGAAGTTGAAATAAAATAAATTGTTAATTGTGTCTTGAATGAAAAATACCCCATGTTTAAAAGTATAAAATGTATATTAACACTATTAAAGAACAGGTCTTGCGTATTTATGTTACACAAATATTTCCATTGCAGTAAAGAGATGAATTGAAGAAAATTATTTAATCAACATGAGGGTTATGAGGGGGTCCCTGAAATTTTATCTCCCCTTTAAGGTTCTCTGAACCCAAAATGTTTGAGAACCCCTGACCTTTAGGTCACATTTAAACACTCTAAAACAAAGCAAACCATAACACCTCCTCACCCCCCAAAATAAATATCTGTATCTTTATTATATAAAATATGCTGGTCCTTTTCTTATTAGGTTCTGTAACATCAGCTTGCTTGACTTTTAGGGTCTTGGCCTCTTTAGCGTAACAACAAATCCACATGTTTAGTTGTCAGAACTGTGACAGAAATGTATGTGGCCTTTCCATCCCACAACCCGAGGAGGATCCCATCATCAAAAAACTACCAAACTGTTAATTTCACTACAGTGATTAGTTGCTTCCGTTCATGTAGGTATCAGCAAGGACATCGCAGCGTTCCATGAGGCTGGGTAAAGTTGCAGGCTTCTGATAATTAACATGCCAGACACATCACATGCTGCAAAGGAAGACGCACACTTTTTCTTCAAAGGCTCGGTTTCTCTGTCCGTCGTGCAACGGCTCATTTATGCCGATAGATACGGAAATCTCACATTTCCACATGCTTAACGCAAGCTTTTAACAAGCTGCTGCACTCGATTAATGAGTTCTTATTAGTGTGTCTGTGTCTCAGTGCTTGATGAGCGGTGAAATTAAAGATGACAAGTTTGCCTGTTTAGTGCACTGTGATCTCATCTGCACACATGGTGATGTTGTGTGTTCTTTAAAATGTCATTTACTGATCATTTAAATCCTGTTTACTTGGCTTCTGTTATATTCTGCAGCAAAATGTGATTATTGGTGTGGGTGTGGTGATTTTTCTGACCAGGTACTGTTTAAAACAAGGGGTCTTTTTCTGGTTTCCACCTTTGCCCAAGTGGCCTTGCTCTGTCTCCTAAATGTTGCTCAGCACATTTACGCAGCATAAATTTCCTGTCAGCCTCTCGGAGTGCCGTTGTTGCCTCGTCAGGCAGCAGCTTGAAGCGGCGAGCTTTCATTCCTGCCACTCTTGAAGGATCCTTGCATCAGCCAGGCTGCTGCCTACATTTTATATTCCCACTGATGTATTATCCCATTCTTTACAGAGACACATTTCAGCCTCGGTGATGGTCTGCTGTGGTAGCTTTTTATTTTTAGAACGCCCTGTGGTTTATTTATTTTTCATTTTTCCGTTAGAAAGTCCCTTTTGGGTGTATATGTACCAATAAAGTGTTGATTTATGTCTTCTTCTGAGGTTGAGAGTGCATTTTAATGTTTTTTTTTTTTTAATTAATGTACATACTTCTATATTTGATTACAGCAGGTCTGGTACTTGAAGTTGTGCTTTACCTATATAGCATTTGACACATCAATTATTTTTTTGTAAAATTCTGTGTGTGTTCAGGTAAGGTGCGCTGGCAGGACTTCGATCAGGATCTGTACGTCGGAGCTACGGTGGTCCGACCGGGTCAGGATCCTTACGCCAGAAACAAGTTCAACCAGGTGGAGAGTGACAAGCTTCGAATGGACCGAGCCGTTCCCGATACAAGACACGATCAGTATGTAGCCTTTCTATGAAACGAAACTGAGAGTGATTAAAAGTGAAAGCTCGGTGTTGTTCCTCCTAATTATATCTGTTCCATAACTGATTGCATGTGTTCATCCTGTTCTTTGTTGCCTGTCGATTTGACTAATTGGCACCAGACTGGATAAGATCTCCTGGGAACTTCCATTCATTGTGGTCTGTCAGATAAAACCAGGAAGTGCCTGCAGTGCCGACGTGCCTTCATTTTCTGCCCCAATTATAAAACTCCCCCGTTCTGGCTGCAGATTGCTTTGTTTGTTAAATTGATGGAGAGTCAAGTTGTGACAGGATATTGGCTTGACTCCTCCGAGGAACTGAGGTCATTGTGAGCTTGATGCCACCTCTACCTCTTGTCCTTTTTTAATCTGCTGATTAGATTTTAATTTAAAGTGTAGGAATATGAAGCTCTGCAGGGTTTTCATTGATCCAGCGTTTGAACTGTTAACGACCGTTTTTTTTTATTGTTTGTGCATTTCTCTCACAAAAAGACAAAACTCTAGTAAATTATTTTTAGTTGATGTGTAAAACTGAAGCTAAATGATGATGTTGTTTACACTTGGAATCCATATTTTATCATTTAAATGACTTATAAGCTAAAAAAAATGAATCAGGCTAGAATTGAATGAGAATACTTGTAATTTAAAGTGTTGATAATAGTGAAATGTGTTTTTAAGCCAATTTAAGTAAACCCATTACTACTCAAATTACTTTTATCAGCATGACATCTTTTTTTTATTTTTCAGAAATAGATGCTCTATTGTTGGATTTTATTCTTTTCTATTTTACCATCACTATTCATCCAACTTAAATAGATGCATCTTTTTTTTTTTTTTTAGGTTTTAATAACAGTACAGTCTGTCCATTCTGTCCCCTCTATTGTTTGTCAGGGATCTTTCTCACGTTTGTATTGTTAACTTCTTATATTAACTCTCCACCACATGACTTCAGTTACATGTTTACTTTTATCTCTGTGCTCATCTTATCTAGTTACTTCTCAAAAACAATCAGGTTATGTTGTTGGTTATATTGATATACATATATTTTATGTTTCGTACAAATATAGTTTTATCTAAAACATTATTTTAATAAATGGTATCTCAGATTTGTTTTCTTTGCCCTGAAAAACCCCACCTAATTTTGTATTATCGCATCAGTGAATTATGATTTTAAAACAAAAGAAGCTGAATTTGGTGTGTTAGTCATTTGAACCTTGGTCTGGGCGTGTTGGGTTTCTGTGGAGGACATCACTGTGTTTCTGTGCTGTAGTTTATGGTTAAACAGTGTTTTTTATAACTGACCTAGTTAAACCCAGCAGGCTACTTTAAACCACGCTGAACCGTGTCTACAAATATTCCCCCAGACAGACTCTGAACACATCCATGTCGGGAATTTTTTCCTTGTTTTCCTAAAGAAACTGAGATTTTTATTTTTAAGATTGAGAAATGTATAGTTAAGAACATTACTTGTACCGATACACTAATGAACATTTAATATCCTTGAACACTTTCCTCTGGTTTTCACATAATTTTTTATGGCAAATTCGGATCATTTTCTTGTGTTTCAGCCGTGAAAACAGAAGTTACTCTGTTTTATCCTCTCCATAAAAATATAAAAATATGCTTAAGATTTTTAAATGTGCACCATGAACGATAACTAAGCTAGAACTAAAAGATTAAAATGGCTGCTGTTATTGTCATCCTGTAAGAGGATGTCATTAATTCCTATTTTTTAAATTTTAATCAAATGTAAGTGGCGTTTGTCAAAATGCGCACCGTGATTTAAGGGCTATTTTTCAAAACGTGTGGTCTGACCTCGCTGATCTATTGACCCAAGTAGACAGCTGGAGCCATTAGCCCACTAAAAGTGCAGGGACGCATCTCCTATTGATCTGGCACTGATGTGTCATTTGCACAGCACACTTCAGTGCAGATTGTTAAGAGTTTCCTGAATTGGATGGCTTCCGTCTTTCATCTAGGCCAGTAATGAACGGCTTTGAAGACAGAATCAAAAGAACTTTTAGGTTTGTCAAAAGCTATAAGAAAAATAGCTTTTTGTGAGCACAAACTCTTCCAGATGGCCTTGCTTCATGATTGATGCAGATGCGTTCAGGAGACTGAAAACCACATTCCGTATTTTTCGCTGTACACGTCACACCGCCCTATAAGTCGCATCAGTCCAAATATGTCTAATAAAGTGGAAAAATCCATAAATATGTTGCTTCTCCGTTTATGTTGCATCTATTATGCGTCACCGCTGACGCATCACATTTGTTACGCGTCACCACTGACAACCCGGAAATGTGAGCCGGTGTTGTGCCAAAAATCGAGGACTTTAACAAGATTAACACTTAAAACCAATTTTTGTTTGCTCGAAATTATAACAAAGGTGTGTCTCAGTCTAACTTTTCCTTAATAAATGCACTTTGACAGTCAAATCAGCTGCATTTTCAAAAGCCGATACGCGGAAACACGAATGCGCAGAGGGCGACTCGCTGTGCATATTTTCAAAATTTAACAAGATAAACACCTAAAAACAATTACTTTGCTTGAAATTATAGCAAAGGTATGTATTTTCCTTAATAAATGCACTTTGATGGTCAAATCAACTGCATTTTCAAAAGTATTTACTGCCTCAGTGCTCCGGGAGCGCGCTCTGAGGGAGGAAAGCCTGAAGGAGGAACGCTGCGCTGCGCATTTCTTCGAAATTTAGCAAGATAAGCACCTAAAACAATTACTTGTTTGAATGTTGTTTGTTTCAATGGTCAAATCAGCGGCATTTCGCCGGGGCGGCGCAGCGAATGAAACTAATTTGACGGTTGCTCCAGGCGAACTGGACAAAGGTGGCATCTATGGCAAGCCAATTATTTCATTAATAGCCACTTTTACCTATTACATGACGCAACGGCATGCCATACTACTCATGTGCCATCTAGCAGCTGAAAATGGTAGTGTTCAATATTTTCAGTCAGAATTTATGAAAACGGTCGTATCTCAGCAAAAATTGGTTTATAGATATGGGGAGGAATATCCATAAATATGTCGCTTCGGTATGTAAGTCGCAGGGCATGCAAATTATGAAAAATACTCTGACTTATAGGGCGAAAATATGGTACTCTGCTCTAACAAACCCATCCATCCATCCATCCATTATCTTTACCCGCTTATTCCATTTTGGGTCACGGGGGTCACCGGTGTCCATGTCCACCATTCATTGTGCGAGGGGTGGGGTACACCCTGGACGGGTCGCAAGTCCATCACAGGGCCACATAGAGACAAACAAGACAAACAACCATTCACTCTCTCACTCACACTTAGGGACAATTTAGAGTTACCAATCAGCCTAACATGCATGTTTTTGGTCTGTGGGAGGAAACCGGAGTACCCGGAGAAAACCCACGCATGCACTGAGAACCTGCAAACTCCACCCAGAATGGCCCCTGGACTGGGGTTTGAACCAAGGACCTGCTCGCTGAGAGGCAGCAGCTCTACCAGTTGCGCCACGGTGCTGCCCGCTCTAACAAACCAACATAAGAAATCACAAGTGGCTTTACACTAAACAACGGCAACATTAAAACATCTCATTGTCTGATTAAACATCTGTGGGCTGTTCAAGATAAAAACAAAGTTGATTTATGTCACATCTCACAGTTTGCAGGGCTGATCAGCAGACAAGTCAGTTGTCTTCAGGATTCTCTTAAATGTGTTTGTCTGAACGGGTCAGAGCGGCTTGACAACACGAGTTAGACTAAGGGTGCATTCACACCAGCCCTGTTTAGTCCGCTTTAATCGAACTCTAGCTCGTTTTCCTAGGAAGTCCGGTTCGTTTGGGGAGGTGTGAACGAGCCATCGAACTCTGTCACGGAACAAAAAGACGAACTCTGGCCCGGGCTAAAACCTAGGTCTCGGTCCGGTAGAAGAGAACTCTAGCGCGGTTCGAGTACAGTGTGAATGTAAACAGACCGGGCCACGCTCCGCAGGGTAAACAAACACACATTTCTCTTACCTTACGTGGAGCCGTCAGCTGACTTGTGTGAAAAACAATATTCCCCATGGTCTTCTGCCTCCTCTTCTGCTCATGCTGAGTCCATTTTTGAAAAATGACTAAATATAACTCCCAAAACTGCTAAAACTTGATGCCACTCCGTGTTAGTTTTTATTTCCAGAAGTGTCTTCAGAGGTTTTTGTGTCGTTTCTTTCAGTAGTTCTTGGTGCAGCGCCCCCACAGGCGAGCGGGGGAACAGGTTGGTTCAACAGGTTGACTCGACTGCACAGTGCAGTGTGAATGCAAACGCACCAGCTCAAATGTAAACACAATGTCATGAATATTGGTCCCCAACCGAACCGAGTCTACCAGACTATCAGGTGTGAAAACAACCTTACATGATGCTTTAGGTGTGGTCTTAATGTTGATTCAGATCAATGGTTAAAAACTAATAGCCTCAATCATTAGCTGAAGTTTTACATATTACAACCCTTTCCCTTTTTATTGTCTCTTATCTCATTTTTCTCTTGTGGTTTTGCTCCATCACAGCTTCAGCAAAGCATCTTTCTGTCTGTCTTTATTCATGCATCCTTTGTGTGTGTGTGTGTGTGTGTGTGTGCACAATCCAATTTATTGTGTTCAAGGACTAAATATCTTGTTTTCTGAAGCAGTTCCACCTGATGACTTGTCTCATGCATTCAGCTATATGTTTTTGGGTGCAGGAGCTTGTGCACAGGTGTAAGCATATACGTTGTCGTATTATATGTCACCAGTCTCTGTGATTTTGTGTGTGTAGCTGCAAACATAAACAGTGGAGATCGGACCTGGCAGCCTCCAGCGTTGTCATCACCTTTCATAACGAAGCTCGCTCTGCTCTGCTGCGGACTGTGATCAGGTGTGTGTTTGTAGCCGTTTGTTTTCTAGCATTCTTTTTATTTTTACTCAAATGGCATTTGTTTGTTTTTTTCTGTTCAGCGTCTTGAAGAAAAGTCCTCCTCTTTTGGTCAAAGAGATTATTTTGGTTGATGACTTCAGTGATAACCGTAAGTAATGTACAGAAATGGATTAAACAAACCAGCGTGTTAACATCAGAGGGTAGATGCAGGTAAAACGTGCTGCTTCATGCGTTTCAGCTGAGGATGGAGCGCTGCTGGGGAAGATCGAGAAAGTGCGAGTTCTGAGAAACGACCGCAGAGAAGGTACAAGGAAACTTGTTTTTTAAAATAAAAACATACATTCATTGTTGTTTCGTTATGTGTAGGGTGAACTGATGGCCTTTAAATTAAAGCTGTTTTTGTACTCTTACTCAGGACTGATGCGTTCAAGGGTCTGTGGCGCAGATGCTGCCACAGCACCAGTTCTTACCTTCCTGGACTCTCACTGTGAATGTAATGACCACTGGCTCGAGCCATTACTGGAGAGGGTGGCTGAGGTACTTCACAGATAAACCTAATACTTCAACCCCTAATACCACTTTGTAATCATGTGCACACACTTGTAGAACTGTCACACTTATTTAATTATTGACTGATGGAAGTCAGCTCAAATGACTGCAAAGTGTTTTACGTCATCTTTCCCTCCTTCATAAAAAATAGACAGCTCAAACTAAATAAAATGTATTTCCATCCGTTAACATGCCGTTTGCTACCATTTTGTATCTTCTTGCATGCTGGACTTTGTATGAAAACAAATTGATAGGGTCTACACAACAAAACTGTTATGATCAGAGGCTCTCTGACACAGGCAGTTCTCCGCAGACGACCATGTGTTGGCAAACTGTCGTAGCCTTTCAGACTTGCGTTTGTACTTGATTTGTGTTGAGGTCAGTCTGTGAACAGTCCATTTAGACCTTGTTTAAATGATAGACGCAAACAAATTGGAGCATTTCAAATCTGTACTCATTCTTAATCTAATAGTGCTTTTTAATCTATTTTTCTGCAATATGGAGGCAAGGACATTACTTCTTTATGCCAAATTTAGTTGTTCACACTTTAACCAGTCGAGGTGGCCAAATCTGTGCTTATACAGGTGCAGCAAACATTGCTGCATTTGCAAATTAACAATGTACAGCTGCAGGCTCCATGCCTCACTTCATACCTACTCACCAACTCTACCCTGTGACTACCTCTCTGTAGCTATGTACATGGACATAAGTAATCTGATTAAACAGCCAATCAAAATAAAAATGCGTCATGTAAACGCCCCATTCGGATTATTTTTTGTTTATTCAGCTCGATCCGAAATAATTTGTAATCAGAACGAGACGGGTGGTTTATACCGATTCATAATCCAAACGGTGCGCATGTAAACACGTAATCTGTTCTTTTTTTTTTCCGCTTGTGGAAAATTGACCTGACTGCGCATGTGCAACCTTAGTCTGTCTCACGTATTTCCACCTGGCTAATGCTAATAATATTAGCATGTCGAGGAAGCAAAACTGGTCTGTGAGCGACAACATTTCTACTAGAAACTTTGAAAGAGCTCAAAATGATCTGTATTACCTGCAACTCAGTCAGGGAGTGCAGTAACGTCTCCACCGTCATTAAAACATGTTGTGGGTTCATTTTGGGCGCTCAGGTTTACTTACGTTCATCACCGAAGTAGAACTTCTTCTGTGTTTTTATTTTATTTTATTTTATTTTTTAAGGAGAGTTTACCACTCTGTGCATGTCAGTACTTCTATTCAGAATAAAAGCCCGCTGCATGTAAACGCTCATCGCAAACAGATTGTGTCAATGTCAACGATACATTTGAATGATTTAATCTGAAAACATTTCAATCCGGTCAAAGAATTTTGCACATGTAAACATAGCTTTTGCGGCTCAGAGCTGTAACACCACTGGATCAACTTTTATATTTGGCACGGATGCAGGAAGATTTTTCTTGAAGTGTAAGAAAGGCGTGACCATGTTGCAATAGATTTCAGTTTATAGAAAAGATGTCTCAAAAAACTGAATCCTCAGAAGGTCTTTGAGCACGCTCGGATGGAGTCAGACAATTTTTTTTTTTAAATTTAATGCAAAAAGGCAGAATACAGCAAAATAAATAAGTTGTCTATTACAGTTATTTAGAAGTCACTTGCTAAGTGAAAACTCATCACTCTGACAGTTTAATAAACAAGGCATAACTAAAATGAAAACATGTCTAAATAGTGAGCATATCCTGTAGAGCAGCTTGGCAGCTGATTTGAAAACAAGACTCCCACCAAGCTCCAAAATGCTGCCTGAAAGCCACAAAAACAATGGAAGTGTTTCAAAAGGAACGTCTCGCCCTTTGAGTCTCGGCTCCGTATTTCAAAATGCACGACAACCCACTGCTCACAGTGGCTTCATCGTGATATGAGTTAATTATTCACGTGTTTATCATTTTTCCCCTCCTTCCTCCACAGAGGAGGTCACAATCAGCTACAAAGCAGCACGGCTGGAGTTTTGTAGTCGGTGTTGTGGTAAAGCTGACGTAAAATACAACAAGGGGCAGCGTTAATCCTCAGGAATGTCAGTAGACTCTGTCAGTAAACACGTTTTATTCATGTTTCCCTCGTCTTATCATCAGTGATTATTTGAAAGTATGCGTCCTGATTGGTATTTTTAACTGAAGTGAGTCACTTTCTGTAAAATTGAGGTTGCTCTTGAAATATTTATCTGCTTTGACTGAAGATGGTCTGATTCTGTTTGATCCCCAGTATGTGGTGGTCTTTTGTTTAAAAAAAGATGCCTGTGGGGAAATCCGTCAGAATAATGGACTTTTTGTTTCTTTGCTTTTGCTGCTTTCATAAATGACCACCACTTCATAACTACAGAAAAAAAAGGCAAGGGAGTAAAACTGCATTCCTTGTGGTTATATAAAAATAAGAGAATAAATGAACATGCTCAGTACCTGGAGGCATGGTTCTGGTGCTGACATCTGGGTCATTTTAACACCTTCTGTCTGATCTGTGTGGCTGAAACCCAAAAGACTCGCATCACGCGGCAAAACGATGTGCAAGTGGCAAAACTGCCTTACTCTCCGTCCTGCTGTGAGAAGGAAGTAAAACAAATACGAATCCTAAACCAAACATGAATCTTTAGTTCTGGTGGGACCATCTGTAGCTCTGCCTCAGTTACTTCCTACATGTGATTTGCAGTAAATGCAAACGAATGATCCAGATTTATTGGTATAGCTGTGTTTTTATTTTTATTTATTTATTTGTTCAGGATAAGACCCGAGTAGTTTCGCCCATCATTGACGTGATCAACATGGACAACTTTCAGTACGTGGGAGCTTCAGCCGATCTGAAAGGAGGTAACATACACACATGTGCGCACATTCTAGACTTGGAATTATAGAATAATAATTTCAGTCGAGCTTCTAAATTTTTTGAATTCCATTAGTCTCTCGGTACTTCATGGTTCGTTTTTCGCGGACTCGCTCTATCGCAGTTTTTCAAAGTAGGATTGAACGTGACACACAATTGGCTGATTGATGGATGAGCCGCACGATCGGCATGGATTTTTAATTTAAAATAAATTATTTTAAATGGTTTAGCACCTGTTTGCAGCCCATAGCTGTGGGGGAGAAGCTTCCTCCTGCAGCTGATCAGCTGATCTTCGTGCAGAGCGGAGAAGTGGGCGTGGCCGAGAGTGCAGCAGGAGGCAGAGAGCTGAAATCATGACATTCTGTGCTCTTTTAGAGCGTTTAGAGTTTAGGAACATTGTTTAGAATATTGCAAGAGTGCGGGAAGGGTTTAAAACGCCTTAAAAAAACAACAAAAAAATATATATATATACTACTTAATACTTGTACTAGTATTCCTACTTTGCTGTTCTTCACTTATTGCGGGGCTTCAGGGTACGGGTTCTCCGCAATAAATGAGGGTCTACTGTACAGTGAGTGTATTCTGTAGTCCTACCAGTAACCTGTAGTTTTTTTCTTCCCTCTGTCAAACACACATCTACAGTACATGATTAATTTAACAGTCTATCTTATATAAGATTTCACTCTGCGAGACGTTAACATTGAGTTCAATGCATGTCGTGCATGCCCTGTAAAAGCATCTGAACAACATCCTCACGTCTGGGGTTTGTCAGTTTGTTGACTTGTCGAGTGTTTTGTTGGTCAACCGACGTGTCCAGTCAACAAATATAAACTAGCTACACATTTTTATGAAACCAGACGGCAGTTTTAGTTTCCATGAGTGGTTCTAAGTGCTCTGCTCTTTGGCATGTGTGGTTTTGTCGTTAGGTTTTGACTGGAATTTGGTGTTTAAATGGGATTACATGACTCTGGAGCAGCGGCGAGCCAGGCAGGGCAACCCTATCGCCCCCATCAAGTAAGACGCACAAACACTCTTAACAACTTCATGACTTCATCTAAGTGCTCACTCTGCGTTGACACGTCGGACTGCCCTCTTATTGTCTCGTCTCCTCCAGGACTCCTATGATAGCAGGAGGTCTGTTCGTCATGGATAAAGACTACTTTGAGCAGCTGGGGAAGTACGACATGATGATGGACGTGTGGGGAGGAGAAAACCTGGGTGAGTGCTGCAGATTGTGATCCAATCACTTGGAGATTGTTTATTATGCGTCTGAACCTCCTCGTGAAAGCAAAGAATAAAAAATCAAATCGAGGGATTTTGACTGTGCTTGGAAAGTTGCCTCTAGTAGCAATCATAGAAACTAAGATATGCTGTAAATCATTATGTTGTATGCATCCATAGCAAGGTGGGTGTATTATGGTATAGTCTCTGTCCGTACATTTTACATGTTAAGTTTGTAAACATTTTTTCTTGTCCCGCCCATAACTTCTGATCCGCTCAAGATAATTTCAGAAATCTTTATACATGTGTGCATCATCGCTAGACTGTCACCTACACCTTTCATCACCCCTGCTTTAAGGTCAAGGTCACAAATCAAGGTCGGAGTTTATACGAGATCTCCGCTTGTCTGGGTCATTGCTATAGATTGCCGTATATGAGTTTGTCAACGGGCATACAATGTTACGTATGCAGTACTGTTATTTTAATGGTTACCCTAATATTTTTAGATAAAAGTTGTTGTTTTTTGTTGTTGTGTGTGTACAGCTTTTCCAGTGCTCTCATATCTAAAGTACAAACTGAAGTCAGCGTGCGTGTTACCAAACAGAAAAATTACAAACTTTCTGCTCTATAAGAACTTTTCTTTCTCCCCAGAATAGTCTTAATTATTGCTTTTTAAATCAGTTGCAAACATTAAAAGTGATATAAATAATGTGCAATAATGCAGAGGTTGGTGATAGTCAATGCTTTTCAACCATCCAATAAGAGGTTGTGTTTTATTGGATTCTCCTATTCTTCTTCAGAGTTATTTACTGTGTTTTGTAATTTTAGTTTTTTTGGTCTTGAAATAAGTTAAACTAACCTGTTTCATATTTAGGATACAGCTGCAAAACTATACTCATATTTCTCAGCTCACGTTACACAAGGATTTCTCAAAATATGAAATGTTTCTTACGTCAGAAACCATCATAAACAATTAGAATCTATAAATTCAGTTTTTGCATCTGTGTTTACCCACTCATGAAACCTCCACACTCCAGTGAGCTGTAGTCCTGACGTAGCTCTTCATGTCTGGACCAGGAGATAATCATGCCAAGAGCATCGTACACAGAAAATCCTTCAATGATTGTTGTATCTGTGTGAAGGAGCCTTCCATGGTACAGTAGATTTTGAAAAATCACAGTGGCGCTGTGATAATGACAGGACTGGAACATCTGAGTAAAAATAACTGCAGTCTGCACACAATGGAGATCATTTTCTTACTGTGCGATGGAATAATTGCAGCTGTGTCTCCATGTTGCTTTTCTCTGAATTCAGCTGGGAAATAAGTGAGAGTGAACAGCAGACAGTTAATTGTGCTCCTCTCGAGGCGGTTGGATCGACGGTTCAGATGCCGGTTCACTCCTCGCCTCATTCAGCCGACATTATTCGAAATCAAACATGATATTATCGACACACTTATGAGGAGCAGAAACCTTGATTTAACTCGGCTGCGCATCTTCTTACAAACGTCTCAAGTCTAACAGTTTAATTTTGACCTGTGTGGGTTTTTTTTGTGTGTGTGTTGTTTTTAGAGATCTCTTTTCGTGTGTGGCAGTGTGGTGGCAGCCTTGAGATCATTCCTTGCAGCAGAGTGGGTCACGTCTTCAGAAAGCAACACCCGTATACGTTTCCTGGCGGCAGTGGGACTGTGTTTGCGAGGTAACACACTGACAGACTCACAAATACAAGCTGACAAAATTAACACTCAGTCCCCATCACTGACTCTAACATTTTCCACGTTTCTATTTTGTTGTTTAGGTTTTTGTCAGATTCACACATATTGTCATTTATTGAACAATTTTAACAAGTTTCAATTTGTAATAAATGTACAAGAGAAGGGGGACAGAAGCACAGATTGAATAATTTGTGATCTTGCGAAGGCTTTTAAACCTCTTTTGTTGGCTTACCAGCAGGATGTCAGCTGTTCGCTCCTTTGTGTACACAAGTGCCGTGTATGAACGACTGAATAGTTTGAAATTTTTAAGATATTTGTGATTCGATTGAAGTAAATCCGTTCACTCCCTGAGGACCACCGCAGGTAAAATCAGCTTGAACAACAATCAAAACAGAACGTACAAGCAAGCAGCTCACCCATAAAGCTTCCTGGCAACTCACTGATAGTTTTCAGCAAAGGTTGCCTTTTAATTGCCCAAATTTCAGTTTCGTATTTAAAAAGGTGTTATTAATACAGTAGTCCCTCGCTACTTCGCGGTTCATTTATCGCAGACTCACTCTATCGTGGTTTTTCAAAGTAAGATTGGACATGACGCATAATTGGCTGATTGATGGATGAGCCTCACGATCACCATGAACTTTTTATTTAGTATAAATTATTTTGAATTATTTAGCACCTGCTGCACATTTGTGCAGCCCACACTGCAGAATAAACTTCTTGCTGCAGATGATCAGATGATCAGCTGTTCAGCATGCAGCGCGGAGAAGTGGGTGTGGCTAAAACGCTTGCAGGTGGCAAAGAGCAGAGGAGGCAGGGAGCTGAAATCATGACATTCTGTGCTCGTTTAGAGCAGGGCTCTGCAACCTTTTATATCAAAAGAGCCATTTCTACCCTTCACTTAC